ACCGAAGGCCCCAGTGCCACCGCTCGCATGCGTCCCGCACACCTATTTCGGCACCTCCACCAAACACAGCGTTTCGTGGCCCCACAGGGACCTCCACCGAAGGCCCCAGTGGTGCCGCCCGCATGCGTCACCCCCACCCCAGCACAGCATTTCGTGGCCCCACAGGGAGCTCCACCGAAGGCCCCAGTGGTGCCGCCCGCATGCGTCACCCCCACCCAGCACAGCGTTTCGTGGCCCCACAGGGAGCTCCACCGACGGCCCCAGTGGTGCCGCCCGCATGCGTCACCCCCGCCCAGCACAGCGTTTCGTGGCCCCACAGGGAGCTCCACCGAAAGCGGCACCCGCAATGCGATATTCACAACTGCGCATGGTTGGGTCCTTCGCCAGGATAATTTGTTTTACGGCGCGATCGTGTCTGCGTGCGTCCTTTGATTCTACGACGCGATCGTGTCTGGGTGCGTGTGGCCATCTTCAGCCACGCGCAGAGGGGGGTGGGGGGAGGGGGGAGGGCTTCTAGAAGCACCCCTGCTTCTTAGAGCGGCGCGGGCCTTCGCTCTAGATGTAAGGCCGGCGCCCCTTCTAGCCTTCGAAGAAGCAACCCTCCTTTCAAGAAGCCCCCCCCCCCCCCCCCACCCCCTTGTGTGCGCCGCCAATATCCCGGGGGGCTGCCCTTGTCTGTGTGGGCAGCGCGAGGGCGTGAAGAGCTGGAGGCGGCATGTAATACCGCCCGTCCTGATTTGTTCCCAACCATCCTGTGGTGTTGGGTCTTCGTTTTGAAGAGACGGTCCCCGCGTTCCTCCTCCACTTCTCCTCTTTCCCCTCCTCCCTCCTACCCCTCCTCCCTGCGTTTCACCCACCCAGTACAGCGTTTCGTGGCCCCATAGGGAGCTCCACCGAAGGCCCCAGCGCTGCCGCCCGCATGCGTCAGCCACACCCAACCCAATTCGGCACACCCCTCACACGTTTCGTGGCCTCATAGGGAGCTCCAGCGAAGGCCCCAGTGCTGCCGCCCGCATGCGTCAGCCACACCCAATTCGGCACACCCCTCACACGTTTCGTGGCCTCATAGGGAGCTCCACCGAAGGCCCCAGTGCTGCCGCCCGCATGCGTCAGCCACACCCAATTCGGCACACCCCTCACACGTTTCGTGGCCCCATAGGGAAGCTCCACCGAAGGCCCCAGTGCTGCCGCCCGCATGCGTCAGCCACACCCAATTCGACACACCCCTCACACGTTTCGTGGCCCCATAGGGAGCTCCATCGAAGGCCCAAGTGCCGCCGCCCGCATGCGTCAGCCACACCCAATTCGGCACACCCCTCACACGTTTCGTGGCCCCATAGGGAGCTCCACCGAAGGCCCCAGTGCTGCCGCCCGCATGCGTCAGCCACACCCAGTTCGGCACACCCCTCACACGTTTCGTGGCCCCATAGGGAGCTCCACCGAAGGCCCCAGTGCTGCCGCCCGCATGCGTCAGCCACGCCCAATTCTGCACACCCCTCACGCGTTTCGTGGCCTCATAGGGAGCTCCACCGAAGGCCTTAGTGCTGCCGCCCGCATGCGTCAGCCACGCCCAATTCGGCACACCCCTCACACGTTTCGTGGCCCCATAGGGAGCTCCACCGAAGGCCGCAGTGCCGCCGCCCGCATGCGTCAGCCACACCCAATTCGGCATCCCCCTCACACGTTACGTGGCCCCAATAGGGAGCTCCACCGAAGGCCCCAGTGCTGCCGCCCGCATGCGTCAGCCACGCCCAATTCTGCACACCCCTCACGCGTTTCGTGGCCTCATAGGGAGCTCCACCGAAGGCCTTAGTGCTGCCGCCCGCATGCGTCAGCCACGCCCAATTCGGCACACCCCTCACACGTTTCGTGGCCCCATAGGGAGCTCCACCGAAGGCCGCAGTGCCGCCGCCCGCATGCGTCAGCCACACCCAATTCGGCATCCCCCTCACACGTTACGTGGCCCCAACCCGCATGCGTCAGCCACACCCATTTCGGCACACCCTTCGCACGCTTCGTGGCCCCATAGGGAGCTCCACCGAAGGCCCCAGTGCCACCGCTCGCATTCGTCCCGCACACCCATTTCGGCACCTCCACCAAACACAGCGTTTCGTGGCCACACAGGGACCTCCACCGAAGGCCCCAGTGGTGCCGCCCGCATGCGTCAGCCACACCCCGACACAGCATTTCGTGGCCCCACAGGGAGTTCCACCGAAGGCCCCAGTGGTGCCGCCCGCATGCGCCACCCCCACCCAGCACAGCGTTTCGTGGCCCCACAGGGAGCTCCACCGACGGCCCCAGTGGTGCCGCCCGCATGCGTCACCCCCGCCCAGTACAGCGTTTCGTGGCCCCACAAGGCCATCCACCGAAGGCCCCAGTGGTGCCGCCCGCATGCGTCACCCCCACCCAGCACAGCGTTTCGTGGCCCCACAGGGAGCTCCACCGAAAGCGGCACCCGCAATGCGATATTCACAACTGCACATGGTTGGGTCCTTCGCCAGGATAGTTTTTTACGACGCGATCGTGTCTGCGTGCGTCCTCTCATTCTACGGCGCGATCGTGTCTGGGTGCGCGTGGCTATCTTCAACCACGCGCAGAGGGGGGTGGGGGGAGGGGGGAAAGGGCGTTCTTAGAACAACCCCTGCTTCTTAGAGGGCGCGGGCCTTCTCTATAGAGATGTAAGGCTGTCAGGCTGTCGCCTTCGAAGAAGCAGCCCTCCTTCTAATAAGCGTCCTTCCCCCCCCCCCCCCACCCCCTTGTGCGCGCCGCCAATATTCAGGAGGGGAAAAAACACACAGACACCATTAATCGTCGATTCCCGAGAAGATATGGGAAAATATGGGCAGTGGGGGGGAAGACGAAAACCCTAAAAATATGGGAACATCTGGGGGATATTTTTCCCAACCATCCTGTGGTGTTGGGTCCTCGTTTTGAAGAGACGGTGCCCCGCGTTCCCTCCTCCTCCTTCCTCCTCTCCTCTCCTCTCCTCCTCCCCCTGCACACCCTCTTCCTTGCGTTTCACCCACCCAGTACAGTGTTTCGTAGCTGCATAGGGAGCTCAGCCGAAGGCCCCAGTGCTGCCACCCGCATGCGTCACCCACACCCAATTCGGCACACCCCTCACACGTTTCGTGGCCCCATAGGAGCTCCGCCGAAGGCCCCAGTGCTGCCGCCCGCATGCGTCAGCCACACCCAATTCGGCACACCCCTCACACGTCCCGTGGCCCTATAGGAGTTCCGCCGAAGGCCCCAGTGCTGCCGCCCGCATGCGTCACCCACACCCAATTCGGCACACCCCTCACACGTTTCGTGGCCCCATAGGAGCTCCGCCGAGGCCCAGTGCTGCCGACCGCATGGTCACCCACACCCAAATTCGCAACAAACACCCCTTCACCATCACGTTCGGCACACCATAGTAGCTCCGCCGAAGCCGCCAGTGCGGCCGCCCCTCTGCGTCACCCACACCCAATTCGGCACACCCCTCACACGTTTCGTGGCCAACTCCGCCGAAGGCCCCAGTGTTGCCGCCCGCATGCGTCACCCACACCCAATTCGGCACACCCCTCAGACGTTTCGTGGCCCCATAGGAGCTCCGCCGAAGGCCCCAGTGCTGCCGCCCGCATGCGTCACCCACACCCACTTCGGCACACCCCTCACACGTTTCGTTGCCCCATAGGAGCTCCGCCGACGGCCCCAGTGCTGCCGCCCGCATGCGTCACCCACACCCAATTCGGCACACCCCTCACACATTTCGTGGCCCCATAGGGAGCTCCGCCGTGGCCCCAGGGCTGCCGCCCGCATGCGTCACCACACGCAATTCGCACACCCCTCACACGCCCGTGGCCCTATAGGAGTCCGCCGAGGGCCCCAGTGCTGCCGCCCGCATGCGTCACCCACAAGCCCAATTCGGCACACCACCTCACACGTTTCGTGGCCCATAGGGGGCTCCGCTGAAGGCCCCAGTGCTGCCGCCCGCATGCGTCACGCACACCCAATTCGGCACACCCCTCACACGCTTCGTGGCCCCATAGGGAGCTCCGCCGAAGGCCCCAGCGCTGCCGCCCGCATGCGTCACGCACGCCCAATTCGGCACACCCCTCACACGTTTCGTGGCCCCATAGGGAGCTCCGCCGAAGGTCCCAGTGCTGCCGCCCACATGCGTCCCGCACAGCCAAGTCGGCACACCCCTCGCACGTTTCGTGGTCCCATAGGGAGCTCCACCGAAGGCCCCAGTGGCGGCGCTCACATGCGTGACCCACACCCACCCAATTCGGCACACCCCTCACACGTTCCGTGGCCCCATAGGGAGCTCCACCGAAAGCCCCAGCGGCTGCGCTCGCACGCGTCCCCGCCACCCATCCCGGCACGCCCTTCACAACAACAGGTTTCGTGGCCCCATAGGGAGGTCCACCGAAGGCCCCAGTGGCGGCGCCCGCATGCGTCACCACCCGCACCCAATTCGGCACACCCCTCACACGTTTCGTGGCCCCATAGGGAGCTGCACCGAAGGCCCCAGTGGCGGCGCCCACATGCGTCCCCGCCACACATCCCAGTACACCCCTCACGCGCTTCGTGGCCCCATAGGGAGCTCCACCGAAGGCCCCAGTAGCGGCGCTTACATGCGTCTCCGCCACCCATCCCGGCACCCCCCCCCGCAGCAGCATCATGTTTCGGGGACCCATAGGGAGCTCCACTGGAGGCCCCAGCGGCGGCCCTCACATGCGTTTCCGCCACCCATGTCGGCACGCCCCGCGCGTGTTTCATGTCCCCATAGGGAGCTTCACCGAATGCCCCAGTGGCACCCATCTCGGCACACCCCTCACACGTTCCGTGGTCCTATGGGGAGTTCCACTGAAGATGAATCCCGCAGCTGCGGTACTGACAACTGCATATGCTTGGGTTCTTCGCCAGGCTAATTATTTGTGTGTATTTATTTGTGTGTTCTGGGGCCCCTTTAAACTTCTGGGGGGGGGGGGAAGCGCGGGGCGCGCCCGCGCCAGGACCCGGCGGCCGCTCGCCCGCCGCGGGGGCCGCGCGCCCGCCTGCGGCGTGGGCCGCGCCCCGGGGTGGCTGCCAAGGGCCACCGGCCTTCAGTCGGGCCTGTCCCCCTACAGTCGGGGGCGGAAAAGAGGGGGGTGATGACTAGGGGGGGTGGACATCATGGCGGGGGCCATGATATTTCCCCAGATTTCATGGCGCCTCTTCTTGTTTCATTACGTCCCTGGCCCCCCCGCTGGGCCGCGCACATGCCGCCGGTCATGATTTGCACCCCCCCCTCTTGGACACCCCCCTCTTGGCCGCTCCCGATTATAGGGGGATTTTTCGACGAACAATAGAAAGTACCGACAAGAATAGCCAAAGAATAGTCAACAAAAATAGTCCGGGGACTATTGTTAGGGCATTTTTTGGGTTTTTTTGCGGGGTATTTTTGGGGTATTTTTTATCTTTCGTCGAAAATCCCCCTGTAGGGGGACACGCCCGACATAAAACCAGCCTGAGACATACAGTCAACCCGCATATATCAAGGATGGGCAACCTTCCAAAGGATACCCTTGCATCCTTGCATTCTCGGCCCTTCCTTGGCCTCTTTCGTTGGCCGCGGCCCGCTCGAAAAGCTTCGAAATGGGCGTCCAAGGCTCTTGCATCCTTATCGCGCATCCTTCCTATACGGGTTGACTGTAACTCCTTCCCCGCGGGGGCCGGACATATACCCAGACATGATCGCGTCGTTCCCCAATCAGTGCTTGCACTGAAGGGGTCCTAGCAGAAGTTGAAAGACTTGGCGAAAGTTTCCCGCCGATTTTGGTAGCGGGCTGGGTTCCCGGGTTCCCGGGTTCCCGATTATTGGTTCCGGACCGATTTCGGTGGGTTCTGGGTTTCCAGGCTCCTGGGTTCCGGGTCGATCTCCTCAGCGAAAACCATACATTGATTGGGGCTTTTCTCTGGTGTAATAAGAAAATCAGGACGGGAGGTTTTTTTCGCCATTTTCGGCCTCAGGGGGCCCTCGCTGGGCCTCGGGACCGTCAACAAGACGACGGATGAACAACCGGTCCTGAGGAAGGGGTCGGGATTTCCAGGGACCCCGTATTGAACAAATCAGGATGTCGCATGTCTGGGTACACCACTACCGCCACCTCCCTCATCCTCTCCCTCCCCCAAGGAAGAGGGGAAGAGGACGGCAGAGGGGGTGAGGGGGAATTCGCGCCAAGAAGAGAATAAGGGGCACAAGAGCTCTTCTTCGAAGCACCCTGCTTCCTGGAGGGCGCGGGCCCTGTCTGCAGACGTGAGGCCAGCGCCCTCTGAGAAGCAGCCTCCTCCTCAGAAGCCTCCCCCCGCTTCCCCCTGCCCCCCTTTGTGCGCGCCGCCGACGTGCGCCCCAGAGCGGGGCGGAACGCGGGGGCGGGGGGGGGGCGGGCGGGGGGCGGGGCACCTCGTGTCGGGCAGGCCTCTGGCAGCCCCCGGACCGCCTCGGGGGCCGCCGGCGAGCCGCCGTGGGAGGCTCGAGGCCTCTGAGTCAGATAACGCTGCCTGCGGCAGGCCCCGCCACCGCGCCGGGCGCGGCGTCGAGAGGTGCGCGCCGGGTGGCCCTGCCGAGCGCCTCCCAGGAGGGCTCGGCGGAGCCATCCTCGGGCGGCCGGGGAAGCAGCGCCGGGCGGCTGCCGCGGGGCGTGGCGGTGGTTCTGCCGAGCTCTCCCGGCGCCGATCTCGGGTCCATCTGTGCAGCGCCGCTGTCGGGGGTCCTCGGACCTTCCTGTGCCGTCTTTCGGGCTGTCTCGAGGGCTCGCGGGGCCCCTCGGGGACGTCTTGGGGATCGAAGGGGCCTTCTCGAGGATACCTTGAGCAGAGAAGCGTGGGAGGCAACAAGCACAGAGAAGCAGTCGGCAATCTGTTTGTTGGCGTTCCAAAACCTTGCTGAAGGGTTCCTCGGATGTCATCGTGCACGATCACTTGAGTTTCTCGGGGTCTCTTGGGAGCGTCCTGGGGCCTCACGGGGGCGTCCTTGAGCCGTCTTGTGTTCATCCTGGGCCATCTTGCAGCCGCACTGGGGTGTTCTTGGGCCGTCCGCGGCCAGTCTTGAGGCCGAGAGGGGCGCCGATGGAGCAGAGCTAGGATGGGCGATGCTCTGGGTACGCGCGGTACGACGGGAGCTGGTTTGTGAGAGCTGCCGAGACCTCACGGTAGGTTCGCGTTAACTGTTTGCGACCCCGCCGCTGGCGTTCCACGCTGACCGCCGCGGGCGACCCAGCATCGGCCGATGTGGAAAGATCGGACGTCTCGGCAACGGCCGATCTCTCACAAGGTTGAACGGTCCCCGCGGTGTCAGGGGAGGAGGAGGAGGAGGAGGAGGAGGAGGAGGAGGAGGAGGAGGAGGAGGAGGAGGAGGAGGAGGAGGAGGAGGAGGAGGCGGAGGCGGAGGAGGAGCGAGGAGGAGGGAGGCGGAGGAGGAGCGAGGAGGAGGACGACGTGGGCAAGGCACGAGCCCGCCGTGTGCCCGAGGGCAGGTGGGCACACCCAAGCAAGCCTCAGCGTGCCAAGCGCGCGGCGGGGGGCCTACTCGGTGCGTATCACCCTGCAGAGGAGAGGCCAGGCTGGCGGCTGACGCCGGCGCCAAATTAGCTCAGTATCGCTTAACCGACCCCCATCCCCATCCTTCGGGGAACAAAAAGTGGCATAAACATAAAAACTCGGAGGTCCACGCGGATTTCTCGGATCGGCGCTGGACCCCCCTCCCTGGCGCGCGGAGCGCGCCAGGGGGGCGCCGGAGGCGCCGCTGGGGGGCCCCAGTGCCGATCCGAGAAATCCGCGCCGACCTCCGAGTTTTTATGTTTATGCCACTTTTTGTTTCCCTAATCCTCCTCCCCTTCGAGACCCCCACGAAATTATCACCCCAGTTGGGATACACCCCTCGAAGCCCGAAGGGAACGGCCTATGTCCCCATCTAGGGGTGTAAATCGGCCAGTGGGGTCTAGGCCACGCCGCTGGGGATGGGGATCGGTGAAACGATGCTCATTAGCTTCGCTGGCCGGAGCACTCGCCGCATGAACTGCGTGGCTTCACTCGTTGCAAGCATCGTCTGCTCGCACGTTTTCTTTCCGACCGCGGGCCGATGCTATTAACGTTAATCCGTTGTTTCGCACAGAAATGAGT